GACAGCCCCCGCTACCAGGAGTCGCTGCGGCTGCTGCGGGAGAAGAACCCCAACGACAACCTCAACAGCCCCGCAGGTACCCCCCAGCTCAACCCTTCGGCAGGGAGCACAGGCAGCTGAACCTCCGCTTCCCAGAGCGATAAGGTAGCTCCTGGGGCTGACATCTGGTTGCCAGGGGGCTTAGGACCGTGCCCCATTTCTGCCCACCTTCTCCTGTCGGTTTACAGCCCCCTGCTGTCAGTTGACAACCAGTCAGTGGGTCCCTAGGCAGGCACAGGAGATGCTCCCCCATATCCGTCATGCTGCTCTCATGCTTTTGGGATGGGTTTATGTTGTGCTCTGTGCCCTGCAGTATTAGAACAAAAAGCAGCTGTTGGTGCAGCTGCTATTGCAGAGCATCAAGTGATGCCCACCCTATCCCATGCCAGAGTGGGACCCAAGAGTGGAAATCCTGTGCATGCAGTGTGACCAAAACCCCTGAAAACACTTACAAATAATTTTCTCGTTTGTCTAAGGAGGCTGGAGTTTTGATCCAAGAGATGCAAAAAAAAAAGGTTATAAGAGAAAATCATCTATCATAAGCAGACTTAAATAAGGCAAGGAAATAGGGGAGTCATGAGAGGTGTATGCACCTATGCCTAATCTCCTTCTTCATTGCAGGACTCAAAGAACCTCGGTTTGTAGAGTTTAACGGAGGATTTAGCCAAGCCCAGTTGGACTGGTTCAATGAAGTCCTCAAGTTCTCTGATGAAAACCAAGAAAAAGTTGTAGTTATGGGTAGGTGGATATGAGGGATATATGGGGATATATGCAAAAAAAGTTATGTAGCCAATGTACGTTAGCTGAGGAAAACATGTAGCAGCTTTGTACCTCCACTGAGGTACACTGTGAAGTAGGAGAATAGCAACCATGTCTCACACTTGGGTGAGTTTTCTGTATACAGTTAGATGGCTGAACTTCCCAGCAATGAAGGCAGAGTTTGGTTACGCTTAAAGTAACCTTCTTCTTTCCCTCTCAACTGCAGGTCATCTGCCCATTCATCCAGATGCTTCAGACAGAGTTTGCCTAGCCTGGAATTACGAAGATGCCCTTTCGGTCATACACTCCCATCAGTGCGTGGTCTGCTTTCTTGCAGGGCACCTGCATGATGGTGGCTATTGTTTAGACTCTCATGGAATTCATCATCTGACTTTAGAGGGGGTTATTGAAACTCCGCCGGAAAGCAATGCCTTTGGAACTATTTATGTCTATGAAGATAAAATGATACTAAAGGGAAGGGGCAGAATTTCAGACAGAGTTATGCATTTCTGAAAATGGTAAGCAAATACAAATTGCCCTTCTTCAGGAAGCACTCGGACAAAAAAGCAAGGGATTCAGCTTATTATTTGCTTGTAGAAAGATGTGCATAGCTGATCCTTATAGCTTTAACTCAAACGTTTTTCTCTTGGATACTGAAACATAATTTCTAAAATTCTGCAAGAAAACAGACCTAGTTTCTTTGCGGAGAATAGAGAAGGCCAGTAATCATGTTTGAAATAAATATACTTGAATGCAGAATGTTGACTTGAAACACCCAATCCTGACCAGATTGTTATGTACTGTGAAAAAATGCAAACCATATTATGAATATTGTCCAAAAAAAGCCACTTTTTTATATCAGTCAGAATTAAAGCATGCAGAATTTTACCTGCCCAGCCGCATTTCAATTTTTTTTTTTTTTCCTAAACATCAGTCAGTAATGTCTCGTGTTTGGCAGAATTAGTCCATCCTGTAGCCTAATGCAGTCTTCTTAACTTTGCTAAAGTAATCCTCAAAAAAAGCTAAGCCCAAGGAAAATGGGGACCATCTATGCAACATCATATAATGCTGCAGATATACCTGCTGGGATCTACGTGTTCACAGCTGTATTAGCCTGCAGCAGTACTGAGCAAAGAAGCCCTGATGTGGAAGGATCTAAAGCATGTTGCTGTGCGGCATCTGGACCTGTTCTGGTTCTCTCCCAGCCAGCTTGTGTGTCCAGTGTATTGAGCTGTGTTTCCTTCTCCAGGATTAGTAGCAGTGGAACATGCTTCCTGTCACTGGGCTGTTGTGTGGGTTCTGCTTTCCAGGAACAGAAATTCTGTGAGAAGCAGAGTTGTGATAGTGACCACATCTGATGGTGACAGTCTTGAGTATGCATCTCACAGAAAATAAGAGAGATGGAAGCTTTCATTTAATTTTCTTTATAAAAATAGTATTTATTACTCTCTAAACCCAGTAATTTTCAGTTAAAGATAATAGCAAAAATATTTCTTTAGATATATTCTACATATGATTTTAGCATAGGAACAGAAACACACACTGATGAATTTTTCAGTTAGTCTCAATGGACTATGCAGGCAGATATCTGGAAGTTTTATGGCTGTAAATAGTCATTTATTGAAACAAAGTGTTTGCTTTACTTTTCCCTTATGTTACAGAACAGTAGATTTCCCAAAGTACGAGGTGCTTGGAGAGTGGTCCAGGGATGCCAGGATATCTTGAGTATACCAAACACACACTAGATCAACAGTGCTTTGAAAATGTATGACAAAGCTAGCTGAACAACAGTTTCCATATAAAAATTCTCCACTCAGATTTGACAGTGTTCCTCAATTTTTTAACAAATCTCAAACCGCACCGCTGGAAGCAGCCAGGCATTCTTGAGTCCTATCAAACTGATACTAACCTTTCATCAAGAACCAAAAGCAAAGGCAAGTAAGGTCAGAATATTTATTCTATACTTTCTCCCACCCAATTAAATCACCGTTTTACAGTGCGTTGGCCAAGATGCTCGCATCTCTTTGTTCACATAAATGTACAGCCATGAAACAAAGGGGAAGAGGGCAACCACGATTGCAGCAATCAAGCGAACTCCACCCAGTGGACTCCTATAAAGAAGCAAATGCAACAGAGCTACTTCAAATCAGACTGCTACAAAACATTCACACCTGGCTGCAGTTGGAAAGACAGCAGAGAGCCTTTGGCCACTTTAATGTAGCTCCTGTGGATGCATCAGCAGAGTCCTTTACTGGAGAGGCACCACATGCCAGCAGAAAAAGTTCTTCTGCCACCTTAGGCTACATAAACCAGGTGGGGAAAAAAAAAAAGCACCCTGCTTGCCCAGAGTATCTGTGACATGTTTTCCCAGCACAAAGGTAGTGTTTGGCAGATTGGGATTTTTCATGCTCCCAGCTAACAGGAATTTAGTAAAACTGCTGTAGCACAGTCCTCTGAAGAGGCTGGAGGGGACCCCAGCCAGCAGCCCCCCAGAGCCTCCTGCCAGCCCTGACTGCATCACCTGCCTGCTCCAGTGGATGCAGCGACACCAGTACAGAGTCCCTCACTGGAAAGTTCTGTAAATTGGGAGCAATGGCAGAAATGGCTTTGCAGTTCATTAGCAGTTGTGGCCAACACTCCCTAGCCTGTTCAGAGAAGGGGTGTGCTGTCCTTATGCAAAGGGAGAATGTCCCCTGCCCATTATGGCAGGGGGAGCAGAAAAAATGTTTCCTGTAGTTTTACTTCCCGCCTCCGCCCCCCC